AGATGTTGGATGCTGCAGATGTTGGATGCTGCAGATGTTGGATGCTGAAGATGTTGGATGCTGCAGATGTTGGATGCTGCAGATGTTGGATGCTGTCTATCATGGTGCACTAAGATTCATAACTGGCTGTAACTACCGTACCCACCACTGCACCCAGTATTCACTGGTTAACTGGTCACCATTAACTTCACACAGACTCTCCCACTGGTACATTTTCATCTTTAAATCACTTCCTGGTCTGCTGCCTTCATACATCTCCTCCTACATGTCTCTGTGTGAGTGCAGCTACAGCGTGCGCTCTCAGGACATCATTACCTGCAGTGTTCCCTCAGTGAGGACTGAACTAGACTAAAGGACCTTCTCCTACTCCGCTCCTGTTTCCTGGAATATCTTGTAAAAACATCTGAAGCTCTCGACCTTTGACCTCTCTAAGTGACTTTAAGAATCTGTTGGACTCCTGGCAGGGACCAATGCAGACATGTTCCTGTTTTTAGTTTTCTACATTCGCCTTAGAATCTAGCTGTTTTTTTTTTGTTACCTTTTTTCTTTTAGCCATCCTATTTGTTATAAAAAAAAATAAAATAAAAAAAAAAAAAAACCTGCAGTATGACTTTTTATAACTGTTTATTGTTGCTGTTGTCCATTGTTGTCATCTTTCTTTGTTAAATCAGGTCTCTCTTGTAAATGAGTCCTCGAGGCTCAATGGGATTTACCTGGAGAAATAAAGGTGGAATGAAAAAAGAAAAAGGTAACAAAAAAACATCTAGATTCTAAGGCGAATGTAGAAAACTAAAAACAGAAACGTCTGTTTTCAGACGTCTCGGTGAATCCTGATGAAGTCATGATGTTCAGTTTTAATGAAACTTATTTAACGCTTTAATGTTGGTTTTATTGAACTCTTGGTTCTGCTGTGGACTGAGCTGTAAAATGTGGAACAAACCTCTTTTATCAGAACTTTTTAAATGTTTTTTGCAGGGGATGCCACAGCGAGCAAAACCTGCAAGAAAGGTTTAGCAACTTTTTACCACCAGGTGCCGTTCTTGGTGCAACCTGTCCTTGAACCTGCAGCCTCAGCAGCTATAACCACTGAGCTGCCGCAGCTGCACATTTTTAATGTTATTGGACCGCACGGCCTCCACAGACAATGTCACTACAGGAGATGTTTAGCAGAGAATGCTGAATTCAAAATTCTTCTGTCTCACAGAGCAATGGAACAGAGGGCAGAGATCTTCATTTGACAAACTGATTAGTGTGTTGGCAACTTCAACGTATACATCAGCCACAAAGTAGCCCCTCCAAAAAAGAAAGTAATCAGTCACAGGAAGCGTCTCTTTGGTTTAATTTCAGACTTCAAGAAATTTAGTAAGAAAATGGTGCTCCACTAGCAGAAGAACTGTATTTAACCTGGAAACAAGAAGCCCTCCGTAAAGCTAGAACTATATATTATTCATCTTTAACAGAGAGAACAAGAACAACCCCAGGTTTCTGTTTAACCTTGTTTCTCTATAACTCCGAGTAGTGATGACTTTGTGAGATTCTTTATAAATAAAATTATTTCAGTTGTGGACAAAATTACCACCAATCTTCCAACTGGAGCCTGATTTATGTTTGGACTGTCTGTTCAAATAGACATTTTACTTCATTAGCATCCCCATTTTAGATCTAATCAATTAGTTTAGATCTAATCAATTAGTCTTGAAGTGAATACTGTATGTACCAAATATGCTGATGAAGATTCTCAGTCATCCAGAACATGATAAATTCAAAAAACGTTCAATACAAATAAGGTCCAGTTGTTTTTGTATTGAACGTTTTTTGAAGTTATGTACCAATAACCGACCTATATCCAATCCCTCTTTTATTAAAAAAAATTATTGAGAAAACCATTGCAAATCCACTGTGTGATTGTTCTTTTTATTTATAGAGGGAAACACACACAGGTTCAGTGAGATTGAGAGGAACTGATTGAACTCACCTCCATGCACAACATAGACTCTGGAACCAATCTCCTTAAGAGGGGCTGCACTATATTCCACTCTGGAGTTGCCCATGGTAAGGGTACTGGAAGGTGCTCCAGCTGGGGACTCCCTTATTCCTCTGGGGGACTTCAATTCCCACGTGGGTAATAGCAGTGTGACATGGAGGGGCGTGATTGGAAGGAACAGCCTCTCTGATCTGAATTTGAGTGGAATTTCTAGGTGCATCCAGAGAATGGAGGGTGTCCAGTTCTGTGGCCTCAGGATTCCAGCTCTGCTATTTCACTATTTATGTCTCTCGGTTGGCCTGGGAACCCCTTGGGGTCCTCCCAGAAGAGCTGGAAGAGGTGGCTGTGGAAAGAGATGTCTGGGCCTCCCTGCTCAAGCTCTTGCTCCCGAGACCTGACTTCAGAACAAGTGGGAGATAATGGATGGATTGAGGGATATACAGGGAAACATGCTAGGTAGTACAAATACTGTATACTATAACATTTAAAGCCCAGGCTAATTTGCAATGCCCTTTCTCACATTTGGACAGAAATATTCTGTTTGAGGAGAGTCAGTCAGGGTCTGAACCCATCACAGCACAGAAACAGAACTGGTAAAAGGTACTAATGGAAGTCTATAGTTAGTATGTTCTTGTTCTGTTAGCTCTCAGTGCTACATTTGATACAACTGATCACAATATTCTATCACAGAGGTTTAAACATGGGGTTACCATTACAGGAGTAGGTCTAAAATGGTTTTAATCATCAAAAATAGTTAAATCATGTCATCTGGACCTGTTTCTTTAAGTGAAGAAATGTTTCGTCCCCCATCCAGAGGACTTGGTCAGTCTGTGGCCTGGCAACCAGATCTGTCCCAGATCTGTTTTCATCATGTTTCCTACACCAGATAGTCACCCGAGTTCCTCAGGGTTCAGTGCTTGGACCATGACTCTTCACCCTACTTATGCTTCCGTTAGGTAAAACTATTAGACAACATGAGCTAAAGTTGTTACACTGATCTGTTGTTGTTATCCATGAAGTCTGATGAAGTCTATCAGGTACTTGTATTACAAGCTTGCCTTAGAGACATAAAGACCTGGTTGACTGAAAATAGAACAGCGAGCCTACCACCTTCTGAGAACAGGCCTCATGGGAGAGGGGAGTTACAGAATTATACAAACCGGATTTCAAAAAAGTTGGGAAACTAAACAAATTGTGCATAAAAACTGAATGCAATGATGTGGAGATGGCAAATGTCAATATTTTATTCGTAATATAACATAGATGACAGATCAAAAGTTTAATCTGAGTAAATATAACATTTTAAATGAAAAATATGTTGATTCAAAATTTCACAGTGTCAACAAATCCCAAAAAAGTTGGGACAAGTAGCAATAAGTGGCTGGAAAAAGGAAATTGAGCATATAACGAACAGCTGGAAGACCAATTAACACTAATTAGGTCAATTGACAACATGATTGGGTATAAAAAGAGCTTCTCAGAGTGTCAGTGTCTCTCAGAAGCCAAGATGGTAAGAGGATCACCAATTCCACCATTGTTGTGCAGAAAGATAGTGCAACAATACCAGAATGGTGTTACCCAGCGTAAAATAGCAAAGACTTTTAAATTATCATTATCAACCGTGCATAACATCATCAAAAGATTCAGAGAATCTGGAACAATCGCTGTGCGTAAGGGTCAAGGCCGTAAAACTCTACTGGATGCTCGTGATCTCCGGGCCCTTAAACGTCACTGCACCTCAAACAGGAATGCCACTGTCAAGGAAATAACAGAATGGGCTCAGGAATACTTCCAGAAAGCATTGTCAGTGAACACAATCCACCGTGCCATC